TTGTTGGCAATGACACAGGTCAAACGTTTTCTGTAAGTCTTCACAAGGTTTTCACACACTTTTGCTGGTATTTTGGCCCATTCCTCCATGCAGATCTCCTCTAGAGCAGTGATGTTTTGGGGTTGTCGCTGGGCAACACGGACATTCAACTCCCTCCAAAGATTTTCTATGGGGTTGAGATCTGGAGACTGGCTAGGCCACTCCAGGACCTTGAAATGCTTCTTACGAAGCCACTCCTTCGTTGCCCGGGCGGTGTGTTTGCGATCATTGTCATGCTGAACAACCCAGCTACGTTTCATCTTCAATGCCCTTGCTGATGGAAGGAGGTTTTCACTCAAAATCTCACGATACATGGCCCCATTCATTCTTTCCTTTACACGGATCAGTCGTCCTGGTCCCTTTGCAGAAAAACAGCCCCAAAGCATGATGTTTCCACCCCCATGCTTCACAGTAGGTATGGTGTTCTTTGGATGCAACTCAGCATTCTTTGTCCTCCAAACACGACGAGTTGAGTTTTTACCAAAAAGTTATATTTTGGTTTCATATGACATTCTCCCAATCCTCTTCTGGATCATCTAAATACACTCTAGCAAACTTCAGACGGGCCTGGACATGTACTGGCTTAAGCAGGGGGACACGTCTGGCACTGCAGGATTTGAGTCCCTGGCGGCGTAGTGTGTTACTGATGGTAGGCTTTGTTACTTTGGTCCCAGCTCTCTGCAGGTCATTCACTAGGTCCCTCCGTGTGGTTCTGGGATTTCTGCTCACCGTTCTTGTGATCATTTTGACCCCACGGGCTGAGATCTTGCGTGGAGCCCCAGATCGAGGGAGATTATCAGTGGTCTTGTATGTCTTCCATTTCCTAATAATTGCTCCCACAGTTGATTTCTTCAAACCAAGCTGCTTACCTATTGCAGATTCAGTCTTCCCAGCCTGGTGCAGGTCTACAATTTTGTTTCTGGTGTCCTTTGATAGCTCTTTGGTCTTGGCCATAGTGGAGTTTGGAGTGTGACTGTTTGAGGTTGTGGACAGGTGTCTTTTATACTGATAACAAGTTCAAACAGGTGCCATTAATACAGGCAACGAGTGGAGGACAGAGGAGCCTCTTAAAGAAGAAGTTACAGGTCTGTGAGAGCCAGAAATCTTGCTTGTTTGTAGGTGACCAAATACTTATTTTTCACCATAATTTGCAAATAAATTCATAAAAAATCCTACAATGTGATTTTCATGATTTTTTTTCTCAATTTGTCTGTCATAGTTGACGTGTACCTATGATGAAAATTACAGGCCTCTCTCATCTTTTTAAGTGGGAGAACTTGCACAATTGGTGGCTGACTAAATACTTTTTTCCCCCACTGTATATCATTATTTGCATTTTGCATTACCCTTGGCACTTCAATGGCAAAAGATAGTCCCATATACTTGAATGGTAAAATAAACTAAACATTGTAGAACTATCTCCTCCTACACCGTTTATACTATTAACACCAAACTAACGTTGAGATGTTCAGCCTGGCCAAACTTAGATTGCTTTGAAAGGATATTTGATACTATGTATACTTTTGGAACTATAACCATTTTAAATTTGTATAAATTAACATGGGTTTGAATGAGAACCATAGGAATAAAGTGGTAGCTATTCAAAATGGTCCTGCTCCTTGGTTAATTAAGCCACAAGACCAACTTTAAAACATTCAGGCTATCCTAACTTCAAATTCTTTAAAACCTTTACAATATTTAAAAAATGTATTGGCATAAATTACCATAAAATAACTCACCAATAGTAACTCTTGAACCGTTCAAGCTAGAGACACCAAACCAACTTTCTCTTGTTCAGGCTATCCTAACTTCACATTCTTAACTTGTATCAACTATAACTGTATACATTAGCACAAATTAGCATAATATAATCCACCAACAGTCACTCTTGAACCGTTCAAGCTAGAGACACCAAACCAACTTTTACATGTTCACGCTATCCTAGACAATCAATCAATCAGCCAATCAATGAATACATTTTTACATCTACTGTATCTACTTTTTCAACTATAACCAGTCACTACTATTACTACTGCAGTCACTGCCACTACTATAACTTATTTCAAAACCATAAATACTTTAAAACATACCAGCAACCACACCACATTTTCTACATGTACTTTTCTAGTTTTATTTTGTGTTTTTATTTTGTTTGTTTATTGTGTTTCCATACCCCCTCAAATAATATGAAGTATATGTATCTGAGTTACGAGTAAAAATGTGAATCATGTTATGAGATCAGTTTGTTATTGATTTACAGGTGAACACTTTTATTATATAGCGGTTGCCTTGAACAGGCATTTGCTAGTTAAAATGTTTCCATATTTTAGATGGTTATTTTACAGGTGAACACTTATAATTATGACTCGGCCCAGAAATGTGAAATCAAGGTCTGAAAAGTGGAAAAGTGCCATCTCTAGAGAACTCTATCGCTGTCTTGTCCTGTCAAAAATACCTTGCCTGAGGCGCTTTTCTGAGAGAAAGCAGGTTTGTGGATGTGAGAGTGTCAGTGAGAGATAAGAGGCAGACACTTTACAGACTTGAAACAAAATATGGGGGGAAATATGCATATGGGGGGGGGTGTGCATTTTCTCCATCTCTGGAAAGAGAGAGAGAGAAAAGGAATGTGCAAAACGACCCACCTCATATGGAATTACACAGAAATGGTTTTCACATTGTAGTATACTTTTGCATTTAGAAAGCATTATTAGCATGCATTATCTTCCAAGTCATAAGGCAAAGAGATCTACACTATATATCATTATTTGCATTACCCAAGGATTGTGCATATTCTCTGTCCATACATGTTTATATTAAGAAGTACATTGTAAAAACACTTGATACAGTAGTCTTGAATTTAACTTAATTACATTTTGGGATTGCACATAAAACATACATCGACAAGATGTGCAATGGGAATCTCCTATGAAAGTAATCTCACATGAAAACACTTAATTCCAAAGTGATCTTATTCGATCAGGTCAATGTGACCACTACTGTAGGTCTACTCATGAATGAGCATACTGCACATCTGGACATATTGGTCTTTCCATACGTCACATCTCCACAGAAACAGAACACTGGTCACAGTGCTTATTTAAGCAGATGAGGAAAATACTATGATTACCTCAAACTGTCCTCACTTTCAAGACTACACCTTATACTTTGAGAGGGTGTGCTCTCCCCAAAAGGAAATAGCTTTCGATTTTATCTTGTATTGGCAGTCTGTTTGTGTCATTGTAAATGCTGCCAGTGGGTTTGATGGCTAGCATCTACAGAGGAAGTTGAATGGGTAATAATAAGCACCTGCCAGCATGAACCATAAGAGTAGAGGGTTTTAGAGGATGTAACACTGTACATGATTCTCCTAAAGGAAATGCTTTAAATGACAGGCCTGGGGAAAGGATCTGGTCCAGCCTGAGGTGTGCCTAGAGTAAGGAGTTATATTATAGCCTCATATCTCACAGTCTCATGTTTACCCACGGGGGGCCAGTATGAAAAATGTATGCACTCACTAACTAACTGTAAGTCGCTCTGGATAAGAGCGTCTGCTAAAGGACTAAGAAATATTTTAAAAATGTACCCATCCACACCAGATAAATAACTTTTGTCCTTTAGAAAAATAACTCTGGATATAAATTACTGGATATCCCTTTCTAGTGGAAAGACTGATTCATACAGAAGGACAACGGCTGGGTCTGTGGAAAAACGGACTAATAGCTGTGAAATATGAAAAACACAATGGAGACGTTTAGAAACCCTAGGGCTAATGTATAGACAATATTTTGCTTGATGTCCGTGACACTGTGGAATGTTAGACCCATTGCGTTCATGAGCTATTAGTCAGTTTGTGGTAAAGATTAAGTGGCTAAAGTTCAATGGTAATGAAGGAGTGTCAGGAGCAACAAAAGAAGCTGAAGGCACTGGAGCAAGGCTGAGGCTCTCAAAGGCTGTGGGAGCATTGAGGAGTATACGTAGGAATCATGCGTGTGGGAGCGAGGAGAAGGGCTTTCATCTATACTTCACCTTCTGACTGCGACTCACCAGGGAGCAGCAGGCTGCTGCTCACAGGTGAAAACACTATTAAACAGGGCTTTCACATTGCAGGAAGATATATTCTCCCTTACTCTCTCACAGAGTTACTCTAGACTTATGGAGAATGATGTAAAAGGGATCGTGGAGGGTAGCTGTTATTTAAAGTTTTGTGGGTTAAGTGGTTAACTGATTTTGTTTTCTCACAAAAAATAATCAAGTGATCACTGCAACAGGTGATCCAAAATCAGAGATATATTCAAATATGAATTTAATTACAGAGTATTTTTTATTTATTTTTTACACAATGTCACATTTATACTTGCTTGCTGTAACATATATGTAGCCAACACAACAAAACAAAATGATTGTTCACCTTTTCACTGTGTTTTTATTGACAAATAATTTTTAAGTATATAGTTTTATTTCAAAGGCTGCAAATATATTGCCATTCCAGCCATGCACACTTCTTCATGATCAGAGAGTCTAGAGAGGCAAAAGAGTCTGGGGCTATGCTATGTATTATAGCACCATCTGCTGCTGAACAAAGAAGGTGACGCTGGATACTGAAGATACTGTGGACCAGGACTGGTCAACCCTCTGCCTGGAGAGCTACTATGGAGGCTTTTGCTCCAGCCCTGTTATAATATACCTGATTCAGTTATAGGTCCTGGTGACTTCCTTTTCCAGTAGTTTTTCATTCACTGAAGGGGTGGCTATGTTCAAGGTTCCTCTGGACGGAATAAGGAGCAGGGTGCCAGCCATTTCACATGATGATCCCTGAAATAGTTTTTGATATTATTACAATATAATAAAAAACATGCCTTTGTTAATGGGTGGGGTTAACAATAGCACCCTCACTTGTTGAGTTGGAATGAAGTTGCAAAACTAAGAATGAATCAAGAAAGCACATCCAGAGCATAGGCCTACCTGTGGTATTTTTGTCCCTTTCTCATTTGATATTCCATTTCATCCACTGTCCAGACGGCCCCCTTGCCTCCCTCCACTCGCACAAAACACTTGTGCAAGCTAAGATTATGACGGACAGCGTTCTGTGGTGGCAAAGGAATACAGCTTGTGTTAGGATCTCAGGAGCCAATATTCCTCAAAACTCAAATGGAAGACTCAAATGTAAGTTTGATCCAAGGAGAAGCCAAACCTTCCATGTGGCCGTGTTGTGTCGGAAGTAGAAGAACATGGTGGTGAACCAGTTGTAGATGTCATTCAGAGAGCGCTGCTTGTCTGGAGACTCCAGTATAGACTGCAGACAGACATGGTGGACATTTACAATAGGCTTGTGCAATTGAAACAGCTCACATGAAGTCTAGACATAGATATAAGTCTTGCTACTCATGTAGTCCAATACAATGGATTCGATATTAATGTCCCACTTGTGTAGATGAAAAGGTAGAATGTTGCTGTCTTTCAGTTCAACAAAGATGCATGAACTACAGAGCAAACTGTATGAGTTGCTCAGCTGCTCAGCCAGACCCTCGACAGTCTAGATTTTCCTTTACTCAAGTGCGCCTTTACCTGAGTGTTCAGAGGGACTCTACTATCTGATTCAGACAACTCACCCATCTTATCAGGCAGGCGTAGGTGTACGGAGGCCTGATGTTGTTGTATTTGTAACACTCAACACTCGGGACAAGATCTGTGGGGTGGCCAATGAAAGCAAACATGCTGGGTCTTGAGTTTGGATCAGATTTCATGGCAATGCGAAAGGCAACATCACAAAAACAAACAAGCAAAACACTTGGAGGAATGCAGTCAGAGTGGCATTCAGGATCAAAATGGAGTGGAACTCTCTCTAGCTTAAGACAAGTAAATCAGCAGTCACGCTATGTGAATGTTACTCTGTGTTGAAGATGAGCGTGAAATGGTGTTACCTGGGAGTAGGTGGTTGGGAGCGGCAGTGGGCCAATACTCATGCTGCGCCTGCTCCTCTGGCTCTTTAGTGGCGCATCGTGGCATACCATCTGGTGCCCGGGCCAGGGATGGGTTCTGGGGCAGGACTAGTGCCAGGCTGTGGCTGTAGGGCCAGTCTGAACCTGCCTTCTGACAGGGAGAGACACCCAACAACACAGACATTCAATATGGTCAGGTTGGGGTACATTGAACATTTCTTAAAAAGGGCAGGATAATGGGCAATGGCATGGCCGGTTACTATAGTCACTTGAGGGCATTAGCCAAAATAGGGAAGCCTTGAGGAGTTACCATGTCAGTTGATTTGTGTTCAGATAGGTGCAGATGGAGTTGCATTGCAAAGAGCTTCTGTTTTTCCAGAGTCAGCTAAAAAATAAGGAAGATGAATCAAGGTTTATTAGGGGCCACATTTTCACTTAGTTGGACTTCGAGCTTTACAACCTTCCTCTGTTGTCAGTGTTCACTATTTGGAGCTTTTCTGTAAAACTGTCTATTATAGTGTATGTAGAACTACAGGAACAAACCTGGGTCTCCATGTATTGCACCATGTCTTGTTGTACCCTACACTGTGCAATGCTTCTGTCTCCATGGCCATGGTCAGAGTGGAGGTGCCTGGAGATACCATAAAAGGTAATCAAAGTCACGACTATAAAGAACAGCACCACAATTTCATCACAATGACCAATGAAATATACTGGTGCTCATGACTCACTTAAAAAAACTGGGAAATTCTTCAAATACCGCATCGCAGCCTGGCCAGCAGCAGAGTCCGTTGAGAAACAGAGCACTGGAGCTCCGTAGGGTTGGGTGACCTGGCCTGCAGATGGGAGGAACATTACAAACTCAGGACTGAATGCCCCGTGTAGCTCAGTTGGTAGAGCATGGCACTTGCAACGCCAGGGTTGTGGGTTCGATTCCCACGGGGGGCCAGTATGAAAAAATGTATACAAAATGTATGCACTCACTAACTGTGAGTTGCTCTGGATAAGAGTGTCTGCTAAATGACTAAAATATGAATGCAATCAATCAAACCAGCCTGGCATTGTTTATGCAGTGTCTGTTTACACACACCAGTGGAGGCTGCTGACGGGAGGACGGCTCCTAATAATGTCTGGAAAGGAGTGAATGGAACCCATGTGTTTGATGCAGTTTATACCATCCACTCATTCCACTCCAGCCATTACCACAAGCCCATCCTCCCCAATTAAAGTGCCACCAACCTCCTGTGACACACACATGGAACTCACTCATGATGCCTGGTGATTATGGAGCTCTGCTTAGGACTGGCTCTCCTCAGGGGAGAGGGGTGGCGAGTGGGCCCAGGAGAGTGCTCAGTGTGTGGGGGTGAGGACTGTCCACGGCTCCCTGTGTCCACCTCCACCTTGCACAGTGATATGGGTTGAGCTGAACTGGCCTCTGTTAGAGTGCACGGTGCTGGAGAAGAAAGGTAGAGAAAAAGACCTATAAACACTTTCCATGAACCTCCTATATGAATCAAGCATAATGGCTGTCTAGAATTGTATACAACATATGTAATGACACCATTTTTTTTAAGCCACCATTGTTTCCATTTAAAAGTGTGACCCTACACCCGCATTATCTATTTTGGTGAGGGGAAGGGTTTTTTGCAGGGGGAAAAAATGTAAATGTTTGGACAATGAAAAGCTATAATGGTTCGGTTGTAAGGATGCTGCAGTGGGTCAGTCAGAGCGGAGAGAAGTGAACTATGGGGTTGGTTTTGGATTCTATACATCCATTATACATTATTACACAGCAGGGTCATGGACAGTGTTTGTAGGTCTTTCTCCATAAAGAGCTGTTTTATTCTATCTTCTCCTAAGACATGATAGTTCAGTTGTATATGTACTGTAAGGGTGCTGCTGCAGAGGGTCAGTCAGAGAAGAACGTACCCTGTGGTCGCACGTGGGCAGCCTGGACACCCTGGCGTAGAACAGAGGGTCTGTGCTGGCTCAACTGGGGGCACCAAGACACCCGCTGCAGGAACGGTCTCCCCTCCTCCTCACTGGAACACTGGGAAGGACACGTAAAAACACTCTCACACTTACAGTACCCCCCTTTTACCAGCAGGGAGTGGTCTGAGCAAACACAAGCAACTTTTTTTGCTAATATAAGTGTATGGGTTACATGAATCTCAGGTCAAAATAGGGCCTTGAAACATGTTATTATAGGAGGTATAAGAAGAGGATAATATCATACCTGCTGTAACAGTATGCTTTGGAGCTGAGATGAGGCCATAAGTGGACCTCCAGGTCTAATCATCAATGGGAAGCCCATCTATAAATAATGGACATTTATTTATATCATTCATCTAGCTCACTATTAGGAAAAACTCCATATAATGAAAATATAGATATTGCCTCCTGGGAACTTGTCTTTAAATTAGTATTATTATACAAAATATAATAGACAAAAAAAAAACATTTAAAAAAAGACAACTGTATGGAACTGTCTTGATTTACACTTTAGCTTGAGCTCTTAACTTTCCATTGATATTTATTTGAGTCTTCTTCCCATTATGTGTTATTCCCTTTTGTTTGTAAATCACATGTTGATTGAAACCACAGTAACAGTTCAACCAGTACCTGAGTAACAGAGGTACGAGCATAGAGCCGAGGTGAGACAGAATCATTTGGCTTGGTGCGTGTGTCTGGCTCCTCTGCCTGTTCACCCTGCCGATCTCGCTGCTGCTGCTGCTGTCTCCCACTGTTCAGCCGCCCACTCTTCAACCTCTCACTCTCAGTCTGTGGCATCCCTGGGCCTGGTGCAGAAGAGAGGAAACGGATGGTTAGTGCTAAGTGCATGCTACCCCCAGGAATGCATGGGTGGTGGTGGATAAAAGTTGTAAATGTGTAGACAACATGAACAATTTCAAATAATCATAAATCATAATAGATCATCCCCACACAGGGCACCAATTATGTAGAGATGTTCATATTTGTAAGAATATGTTGTATTCAGTCCCGCATATAGTTAAACAAATGACATTAAAACAACACATCGCTACAATAAGAGAGAGAGAGGGGGGGGGGGGGCATGTGCTCTTTGGTAAATGTTAGACAGCGACAGGTTTGGAGGCATGGTGTCTTTTGTTCCCTTATCAGACATAATGAAAGGTAGAGGAGTTGAAACACAGTCTGGGCTGAGAGATGTTGTGGTTGTGCACAGGTGCAACTACACAGACATTGGAGCGTACAGAGATGGAGCTGATAGAAGCAGGTATCTCAAAAACATACAGTGAGCTCCAAAATGATTGGAACAGTGACACATTTTGTTGTTGTTTTGGCTCTGTACTCCAACACTTTGGATTTGAAATTATGAGGTTAAAGTGCAGACTGTCAGCTTTAATCTGAGGGTATTTTCATCCATATCGGGTGAACCGATTAGAAATTACAGCACTTTTTGTACATAGTCCCCACATCTTAGGGGACCAAAAGTATGTGTTTTAAAGTAATCAAAAGTTTAGTATTTGGTCCCATATTCCTAGCACGCAATGATTACATCAAGCTTGTGACTCTACAAACTTGTTGGATGCATTTTCTGTTTGTTTTGGTTGTATTTCAGATTATTTTGTGCCCAATAGAAATGAATTGTAAATAATGTATTGTGTCATTTTGGAGTCACTTCAATTGTAATGATGAGTGAGAAAGTTACAGATGCACAAATATCATACCCCAAAATGCTAGCCTCCCCTGTTATTGTAATGGTGAGAGATTAGCATGTCTTGGGGGTATGATATTTGTGCGTCTGTAACTTTCTCACTCATCCTTATTCACGATTCATTCAGGACTATCCGTAATCATGGTAGCATCCACATTAATGTAGAAGTGTTTAGAAACATATTATATTCTTATTTACAATAAAAGTGACTCCAAACTGGCACAATACATTATTTACCATGAATTTCTATTGGGCACACCATAATCGGAAACACAACCCAAACAGCAAATGTATCCAACAAGTTTGTAGTCACAAGCTTGATGTAATCATTGCGTGCTAGGAATATGGGACCAAATACTAAACTTTTGATTACTTCAGGGAATTTGTCCCAATACTTTTGGTCCCCTAAAATGGGGGGACTATGTACAAAAAGTGCTGTAATTTCTAAACAGTTCACCTGATATGGATGAAAATACGCTCAAATTAAAGCTGACAGTCTGCACTAAAACTCATAGTCATTGTATCATTTCAAGTGCTGGTGTACAGAGCCCAAACAACTAAACATTTGCCACTGTCCCAATACTTTTGGAGCTTACTGTAGCACAGGAAAGAGGGAAGGGTGCTCCAATTATTTTCTCCCCACCTAGTAATCAAACAGGGGTAACAGTTTATTTCATGGTACTGTTTCAGTGGTATCCACCTTGTACAGTGCATTCGGAAAGTATTCAGACCCCTTGACATTTTCCACATTTTGTTGTGCTACAGCTTTATTCTAAAATGGATTTAAAAAAATAAAAAATCCTCATCAATCTACACACAATACCCCGTAATGACAAAGCGAAAACAAGTTTATAGAAATGTTTGCTAATAAATTAAACAGAAAAAACTGAAATACCTTACTTACATAAGTATTCAGACCTTTTGCTATGAGACTAGAAATGGAGCTCAGGTGCATCTTGTTTCCATTGATCATCCTTGAGATGTTTCTACAACTTGATTGGAGTCCACCTGTGGTAAATTCAATTGATTGGACATAATTTGGAAAGGCACACACCTGTCTATATAAGGTCCCACAGTTGACAGTGCATGTCAGAGCAAAAACCAAGCCATGAGACTGGAGCCTGTAGCTCAGTTGGTAGAGCATGGCGCTTGCAACGCCAGGGTTGTGGGTTCGTTTCCCACGGGGGGGGGGGGGGGGGGGGGGGGGGGGGGGGGGCAGTATGAAAATGTATGCACTCACTGCTAAATGACTAAAATGTAAATGTCGAAGGAATTGTCCGTAGAGCTCCGAGACAGGATTGTGGCGAGGCACAGATCTGGGGAAGGGTACTAAAACATGTCTGCAGCATTGAAAGTCCCCAAGAACACAGTGGCCTCCATCATTCTTAAATGGAAGAAGTTTGGAACCACCAAGACTCCTCCTAGAGCTGGCCACCCGGCCAAACTGAGCAATCGGGGGGAAAGGGCCTTGGTTAGGGAGGTGACCAAGAATCCGATGGTCACTCTGACAGAGCTCCAGAGTTCCTCTGTGGAGATGGGAGAACCTTCCAGAAGGACAACTATCTCTGCAGCACTCCACCAATCAGGCATTTATGGTAGAGTGGCCAGACGGAAGCCACTCCTCAAGAAAAGGCACATGACAGCCCGCTTGGAGTTTGCCAAAAGGCAAATGAAACCAGGTCTGATGAAACCAAGATTGAACTCTTTGGCCTGAATGCCAAGCGTCACGTCTCGAGGAAACCTGGCACCATCCCTACAGTGAAGCATGGTGTTGGCAGCATCATGCTGTGGGGATGTTTTTCAGCGGCAGGGACTGGGAGACTAATCAGGATCGAGGGAAAGATGAACGGAGTAAAGTACAGAGAGATCCTTGATGAAAACCTGCTCCAAAGTGCTCAGGACCTCAGACTGGGGTGAAAGTTCACCTTCCAACAGGACAATATCCCTAAGCACACAGCCAAGACAACGCAGGAGTGGCTTCAGGACAAGTCTCTGAATGTCCTTGAGTAGCCCAGCCAGAGCCCAGACTTGAACCCGATCGTACATCTCTGGAGAGACCTGAAAATAGCTCTGCAGTGACACTCCCCATCCAACCTGACAGAGCTTGAGAGGATCTGCAGAGAAGAATGGGAGAAACTCCCCAAATACAGGTGTGCCAAGCTTGTAGCGTCATATCCAAGAAGACTCGAGGCTGTAATCGCTGCCAAAGGTGCTTCAACAAAGTACTGAGTAAAGGGTCTGAGTACCTATGTAAATGTGATATTTCAGTTTTTTACTTTTAATACATTTGTAAAAATTCTAAAACCTGTTTTTGCTTTGTCATTATGGGGTACTGTGTGTAGATTGACGAGGGGGAAAAACAATTAAATCCATTTTAGAATGAGGCTGTAACTTAAAAAAATGTGGAAAATGTCAAGGGGTCTGAATACTTTCCGAATGCACTGTATTTAATAGGAAATAATGTGGTATCAATGGGTACTTTACTGTGCTTAGTATACTTACAAGAACTACTTGCTTCCAAATGGTGTCTAATGGTGCATCTGTTAAAACTCCCAAACAAACAAACAAATAATTACATTATGTAATTTCTATGTAAATGCGTAAATATCTGGTCACTGTAAAATAAAGTGCTACCCAAACGGGTCTAAAGGCAACCTCATTGAACTCTTTGGCCTCAAATGTATAAAAGTCTATGGGCGACCCGACCACCGTGTACAATTGCAAATGCACGCTCTCACCCAGCAACCCAGGAAGAGGAAACAGGAATTCAGTAGAAAGAGAAAGTACTGAAGCTCTTTGTGGTTTCTCGCTTTTATCTCCACTTCACCAGAAAATATTTTTTATTTGGAATTGAGAGCTACTGTACATGTTTATATCACACAGATTCGTAGAGAGTGATTTGATGAATGGATGTGCTACAATGACATTACAAGTAGAAGATATTAACACTTCTTTCAACACTTCTCTCAACTGAGGGCAATTACGTTCAGCTTTTACTGTAGTCTAGGAGTGGGTTTGATGATCAAAATACCATATTTGCAATCAACTACATACTGTATGTAAAGTTTTCTTATTACTCACTATGCTTCCATATCTAAAATATCTGTCTGGTGTTGATGCTTTGGTAGGAACCTGTGGGTGACATTGATTTGAAGATGAGATTTTTTTGGCCTATAACACTACAAATTATATTATGTTTAACTTATAATATGTTTTCTTCTAATTAAAATGTTTTATTTGAATGAGAACAAAACATATATAAAAATAGATTAGAGTATACTGGACTGATGACATTTTCATGTCCAAAATTATTGAATAAATCTAAATAGCAAATTCAGTATGAAACCAAACTTTTTATTTGATCGTCATATAATACCAGTCCTACAGCATTTTTTAAATCATATTGAGCAATTGAGCAATTTGCTAACATTTTTGCAGTTTAAATGACAAAGTCAGGATATTTCTTGAACATTTATGTCCAGCTTCTATATTTCCAGAGTTCGGTCTGTAAAGGAACGTTTAAAAATAAATTGCAATAGAACATGAACGACTACTCATGATTACTCATGTGGCATTAGCGTGCAGAGTAAATCCAGCCACAACAAGTGAGGGGTGTAAATGCTAGAATGAGCAGATCCCACACTCTACAAACCCACATTCTACAATCATGTCACACTGACTCAGAGCTTCCATTTATAACTATGACTAGTATATCACTATTGGCTTTCACCAGAATTTAACCTACATTTATTATTCTATAAACTACAATACAAATAATTGTGCTCATCCCTTATGTATTCATCTGTTCATCCTAATCTGATCTTTAAATTAGGTTAACCATTAATATGTCCATTGGAAACAAAACCTCATCTCCCTGGAATGTTTTGATGATTTTCTGATTAAATGCATGTTGTGAAGCCTCAATACTTTATTTTTAGACTGACTGCAAATAAATCATAGAGAGTAAATGCTTTCTTGTTTTCTAACCTAAAAATGTGTATCTCACAGATCAAAAGTAACACAATTGAAAGACCAAAGTATAGCACTTCAAATCCTGTAAGGTGATTCATAGTCTTTGACATTGATGTACTGAAAACATTA